CCTTATTCTGACTTCAGAGGTCCTATGTGGTGTGGCACCTGACCATCTATGGCTACACAGGTCTTCCCATTACTTCAACACACCAAGCTAATTCTAGCCATAGGGACTAGTTATTCCTTCTGCCTAGACTCTCTGTGCATGGCTGGTTCCTTCCTGTTATTCAGGTCTTCTGAGGCCTCTCTGACTGCTAAAGAAGCTCTACATTTTCTTCTTCATCCTGTTTTATTATACAAATAATATTTTAATTATTACTTATATTACCTGCTATTTTCTTGCTTATTATCTGTCTCTTCCTACTAGAAAGAGGGACTTGTCTCTGAACCACTGATGCATCTCTAGCGACTGGAAGACTGGCTGGCCCATAATAGCACTCAACAAAAATTAGATGAATACATGAAGTGACTAAGCAAAATCCTGATTATATTTTCTTTGTAACTATAACATATAGTACAGAGCCCCACTAACAAATTAACAAGCACACATCTTGGTTAACAACAGGCACAGAGATGACCCAGCTTATTTGAGCATAAATCAGGTGACAGAAAAAGAATTGATTTTTTTTTTCTTTTTCAGATATGCTACTACTCTTACTTTTCTCAAGCTGACTCAATTTACCTTTGTTAGTAATTGAATGTACCTCTTTCTCAGCCTTCCTATTTTTAGTATCTAAGCAGTAAACATAAGGTTTGGTAAACCTAACATGAGACTCCATAACTTAAGAACCACCTAACTGGTCTCCCTGCTCCTATTTTCTATAAAGAAAGCAAAATGGAGTTCAATTAGAGTCCATATACTACTTGAGGTAGTAGTAACTTGTTTTCCATTAGCTATGTTCCAAAGAACAGAAAAGTACCCTAATTTAATCAAACTCAATTTTACTTTGTAGTTAAGAAAGAAAATGGATCTTCGTGAACTTTGGGATCACTCCACCTTCCACGTGCTAATCACATTGCCAATCACTTATAAGAAAGAGTAACTGCAGAAGTGCTTTCTCTTTCCTGCAGAATGTGACAATCTTCTTGTTAGTCAAATGCTCTTGAGATGGCAGTTTTGTATGCTCTAATTATACAGGAATCCTCAGACATCCACAACAACTACCATCAGACTTAACACGACCAGGTCACATTTTGAAGAGTATTTTTATCTTCTCACCCACTAAGGCTATAACTTCCAATACCTTACTCTAGGCATATTTAAACCAACATGTTTTAATGTCATTTTGACTAGGATGAATTGAACTTTCAGATTAGTACACCCTGTAATTTTGTGAACAAAGATGCTAAAACGTGTTAGTTCTTCGGGGGCCACTCTGATTAGCGACTGAGAGGGTGGAGGGTGAGGGCCCTCAGCAATCAGAGCAACCTTGTTCTTATCTGTTCTTTGTTTAGTTTTTAAGTACCCACTCATAAGAGTTCCTCTGAGGGAGTTCTGTTAAGGGAAGTTTGGAAACCCACTGGATTAGATCACCTTTTAGGATTCCCCTTTCTAACTCAAACACCACAATAACTAGGATCTCAAAGGGCCCCAGGGACACATTAAAAAAAAAAAACCAAAACCAACAGGGACTTCCCTGGAGGTCCAGTGGTTAAGGCTCCATGCTCCCAATGCAGGGGGCATGGGTTCGATCCCTGGTCAGGAACTAAG